GCCTTGGAACATTATGTAAATGGACTCATATAGTGTCTGTTCTTTGCAATCTTTAACTCCTCACTGTTTATAAAACTATAGGTGTACTTAGAGCACCCCCCCCGTGTTTATGTGTGTGTGTGTAGAGGTTCTCCTTTGGGGGAATACAGCACACTTTCCCCAGCCTACTGTAGATGGGCATTTGGGCTTTCAGTTTTATATTATATGGAACAATGCTGCTCTGAACCTTCTTAAAAAACATATGTCTGTGTTCCATGAGTCTACAAGTAGGTGTGAAATTACTGGGATTCCATCTGTATATCTATATCCATATAGCTCAAATATACATCTTAAATTCACCAATTCAATACGTATCCTTTTGTAGTTGCCTAATTCCTTTTTTTAAAAAAAAATTTTAGGGGGCTAGAGAGATGGCTCAGCAGTTAAGAGCACTGACTGCTCTTGCAGAGGACCCAGGTTCAATTCCCAGCACCCACATGGCGGCTACAAACCATCCTTAACTCTAGCTCCAGGGGAATCCAAAGCCCTCCTCTGACCTCTGAGGCATTGCATGACACAGGTGCACTCACACATACGCAGGCAATACACTCATACACATAAAAAAAAAACTATAATAAAATATTTTTAAAAATGTTTAATGTTTTAAATGTTTAAATGCCTTAATCACAGCACTGGGGAGGCAGAGACAGTTGGAGCTTTGTGAGATGGAGGCCAGCCTGATCTACATAGCAAGTTCTAGGCCAGCTGGGGCTACAGGGAGACGCTGTCTCAAAAAAACAAATTATTTTGTGTGCAACTGGGGTGGGGTAGGGATGGGGTAGTATATGGAAGTCAGAGGACAACTTGCAGGAATTGGTTCTCTCTTTCACCATGTGGGTCTCAGGAATTGAACACAGGTCATGAGGCTTGGGTGCCTTTACCCATTGAGCCATCTTGCCAGTCTACCTGATTTCTATAGATAAGTGTCCTAGGCATACTCGAGAATACAGAGGAGGATCTGGGGAGATGGCTCTGTCAGTAAACAGCCTACCTTGCAAGCACAAGGACCTAAGTTGCATCCCTAGAACCCATGATTTTTAAAGTTTTTTTTTTTTTTAAAGTTCAGAGAAGCATTATTCCACATAATATAAAGCTGAAAGCAGCCCGAATGCCCATCCACAGTAGGCTGGGGAAAGTGGTGAGATGGATAAAGCTGGAAAAATGGTTCTACAGTTAAGAGTGCTTCTTGCTCTTCCAGAGGACCTGGGTTAGGTTCCCAGAACCCACATCAGAGGGCTTACAATTACCTGTAACTCCAGCTCCAGGGGACCCAATGCCTTCTTCTGGCCTCTGAGGACACCCACATACATGTTGCATACACTCACACAGATACACACACACACACACACACATCAATAAAAATAAATCTTTTAAAACATTTTTGTCTTTTTGAGACAGGATTTCCCTATAGCCCCAGCTGGCCTGGAACTCACTATGTAGTCCAGGCTGGCCTTGAACTCAGAGGTCCACCTACCTCTGCCTCCCAAGCGCTGGGATTACAGATGTATGTGCCACCATGCCCAGCCTTTTAAAACATTTTTATGAAGCCAGTCATGGTGGCACATGCCTTTAATCCTAGCACTCAGGAGGCAGAGGTGGTTTTCAGTGAGTTTCAGGCCAGCCTGGTCTATAGAGTGAGTTCCAGGCCAGCCAGGGCTACATAATGAAACCCTGTCTCAAAAAATAAAAAAAAAGGAGAGTGTGTGGCTGGAAAGAAAGATGGCTCAGCAATTTGGAGCACTTGCTGCTCTTCTAAAGGACTCAAATTTGGTTCCCAGCACCCACAGCTGCTCACAACCTATAATTCCAGCTCCAAGGGATCTGACTTCTTGGCCTTGGTGGGCCCTGGAATACATTCATGTATACAGTCAAATAAAATAAAAACAAAAACAAAACAACAAAACAGCTATCTCTTAAATAGATATTGAAGTCAGCCATGCTGCCACACACCTTTGATCCCAGCACTTGGGAGGCAGAGGTAGGTAGATCGCTGAGTCCAAGGTCGGCCAGGACTACATAGTAAGCCCTGTCTCCATTTTTTAAAAAAATTATATTGAAAGAGGCTGGAGGTGTGGTTCAGTAGTAGAATGCATACTTGCCCAGCATTAGGCCCTGGGTTCAATCCAGAAAATGAAATTGTAGGGTATCTTGTATTTGCTTTAAAATAACGGAGCAGGAACACCAGTCTTTATGACAACTGTCTCCTTGTACCCCTTAAGAATGTGTCATTTTACTCTGTAATAAACTCTACCTAGTTTCTGCACACATACAAATGAGCACGGCATAATGCCAGAAATAGAATCTGCAGGTCCAAGGACCTCAGAGATAGCATACAAAGAACTGTAGGACAAAGTGTGTTACAGAGTTTGAAACCACTGGGAAAAAGACCACCAGACTCAATTTAAATTTTTTTTTTTTGTCATTTTCTGAGACAGGGTCAGGCTATAGCCGTCCATGGTCCCTTAGTCAGATTTAGGACCCATGGCCCTGAGGGGAGGGTGAAACTAACTTATAAAGGCAAAAACCAGATACCATAGGCATTTCATCACACATAAGTGGTCCTATGGTCAGGATGCCCAAGTTAGCACATAAGCAAGCTACAGAAGCCAGAACAAGCTTGTGTTAATCCTCTTAACAGAGGTATAGAGACCTTGACAGTAAGGCACTTTCTGATTAAGTGCAGCTGCAGTGTCTCGGAGGTGACCAAGGTCAGCTACTCTAAATAAAGCACTCTTCTAAGGGAAAGCAACTAAGTCCAGGCACTTAACCTTGAAGCTGGCTGTTTTTCTAGCTTTTGAAGTTTAAAGTGGCTGCTTTATACAAAATGAAGTTACTTTGGCCATTGTTGGAAGACCTCTGTTATGCAAAAGTCGAAGCCCCTTCACACCGGACAGCTCATGCAGCTCGGGAATGTGCTGTGGGCTCCTTTTCATAGCAAGGTGCTTTCCGGCATCTTTCCTTTCTCTCCCTTTGAAGTGGCCGCCACAAATGCCCTGACATAAACATGGCCTTTGGCTCTGAAAAGATACCATGCCTTCCTGTAATTTTCCTAGCAGACAACTGTCTGGCAGAAATCCACTTCCACATGTAAATAGAATGTCTCACAAAGCATCTAACAGCCAAAGCTTTTACCAATACCCCCATGGTATAAAATATACTAGCCTCCTCTTAACAGTGGGAGATTGGGTCAGAGACTGGATCCCAGAGATTGGGTCCCAGAGAGAATAAAGCTGTAAGCACAGACTGAGCCGAGCCTTGAGTCTTGTGTACCGGCGACCTAATCCCCCTGGAGGGCAGCACTCTCCGTTACCGACCCACGGACACTAGCTTTTGCCATCTCCGTACTCCTTCCCTGCGTGGCTCAGTGCCCAGGAGCCTTGCATCCCGAGGAAGGGTACACGGGTGAAATAGAGACGGGATTCCGGCTGGACAATGCTCCAGTAGCAGAGGATGCTCCAGAGACTTGGGGCCGAGCCGCCGGGAAACACTCCCAGAGAGCAGGACCCAAAGCAGCCGCCGGAGAAGTCTGCGGACCCGCAGGGAGTGAGCGCACCCTGCGCCCAGAGAGAGTGCAGCCCGCCCATAGGCCATTACAATTTGGGGGACTGCATTTGGGGCCATTACAAAAGTAGCTCAGCAAGGCAGCTTTTGCTTTTCCAAAAGTGTGGATTGCCTCATTCTGATAGGGAGAAAGCACGCCAAGCAGAAAATTTAACTGTTTCATCCTAACTCCCAAGAGTACTGTGACTTTTTCCCAATGGCTGGGGTCTAACCTCATAGTTTTTTATGGTCTGCTAGTTGTTCTGGGTTTTTGGATTATTTTTATTTTATTTATATGAGTGTTTTGCCTGCATTTAGTGCATCTATGCATGTGGTGCCCAAGGAAGCCAGAGAAGGGCATCAGACTGAGCTGCCATGTAGGTGCCAGGAATTGAACCCAGGTCCTCTGCAAGAGCAGTAAGTGCTCCTAACTGCTGAGTCATATCTCCAGCCCCTAGCAGTTGGTTTTGAAAGAGTCAGCACAAAGGAAATGTGGGAAAGGGGTAGGCAGCTCCAGGTGGAGTTCAGGGATCGCTACAGGACCTTGCATAAACAAAAGTTTTACTAGATGAAAGAGATTAAAATATTTGAAATCCTTCTTGTAAACAAAAGTTTTACAAGGTGTGGGAGGATTACAAAATAGCACTACAAGGGTTACATTGCTATGATCATTCTTTTGATAGAAAAGATTAATAATTTCCATTTTAAAAAAGACAAGGAGCTGGGCGTGGTGGTGCACACCTGTAGTCCCAGTACTTGGGAGGCAGAGGCAGGGAGATCTCTGTGAGTTCAAGGCCAGCCTGGTCTATATAGTGAGTTCCAGGCCAGCTGGGGCTACAGGGAGACCCTGTCTCAAAAAGACAAAAAAAAAAAAAAAGACAAGGGAAAGAAATAAAACATTCAGCTTAATATCTGTAATCTCAGGCAGATGACCCCAAGTCCAAGGTCAGCATGGTCTAGAGGGTTCAAGGCCAACCAGCACTATGAGCCAAGACCTTGTCTCAAACAAAATAATAAATACCACACAGTATAATCAGTTTTATCAGTGAGCCATTCCTTAACAGCAACAAGGGAACAAAGATTTCTCATTAATCTATGACTTTGGGTAAGTCTTTTTTTTGTCTAGGAACCTCAGTTCACCACCATCACTGATGGTGAGGGACTGGAGGGGTGGCTCAGAAGAGCACTTGCTGTTCTTCCAGAGGACCCGGGTTCAATTCCCAGCACCCACATGACAGTTCTATTGCTTTCTTTATATATCTATATCTATATCTATATATATGTAGAGAAAAATAAACTGGCCTTTGGGCAAGACTTCCCTCAGTCTTAAGAAGACCTGGACCTGTAGTTTGAGGACACTCGGAGGACAAGGCCCTCGACAACCAGGGCAGCCTGAGTTTCAATCTCAGCTCTACTATCTACAAGCAACCTGGAAAACAGCATTTCTTATCTTACAAAATGGTCAGTTTTACCTCGTTGTTGGGAAAAGTTGTGTCAATTACAAGGTGTAAAGGGCATGGAACGGTGACTGATGACAATATTAGTTTCCCTTCTCAATTTACCGACTCAGTCCAGGACCACTGAAGTTGTTTACAACGACCAGATTCAACTTGCAACTCCTCCACCTGGGTCCAAAGTGCAAACCTGCTCGACTAGGGGATGGGCAGATGTGTGCACAGCGCCCTCGCGCGCCGAGCCCTGGAACTGCCGCGGTCAGCCCCGCCCATCGCGCCTGCGCACAGGCACCGCCCCCAAGTTTGTTGTCATCCGCGTTCCGGACGTTTGTGGCAGCGCCACCATGGCGGTACGACAGGCTCTGGGCCGAGGCCTACAGCTGGGTCGGGCGCTGCTACTGCGCTTTGCCGCCAAGCCTGGCCCGGCCTCCGGCTGGGGGAGGCCCGGTCCCTCGGTGGCCTGGGGCCGCGGAGAGCGCCCGAGCCGGGCTGCAGGCCCCGGAGCTCAGCAGTGCCAGCTCGGGCTCCCGCTCCCCGACCGCTACCGCTTCTTCCGCCAGTCGGTGGCCGGGCTGGCGGCGCGGATCCAGAGGCAGTTCGTGGTGCGGGCCCGGGGCGGCGGGGGCCCTGGCGGCCGAGCAGTCTTCCTGGCCTTCGGGCTGGGGCTGGGCCTCATCGAGGAGAAGCAGGCGGAGAGCCGGCGGGCCGCCTCGGCTTGTCAGGAGATCCAGGTGAGCGCAGACACGCGGGCAGGGGGCCTGAGTCCGCTGGCCGCGGCTGGGAGCGCAGGCTTGGGGCCAGACGGGGCGGGGCCGGGGCCGCAGGGGCGGGGCTACAGCAGGGATGAGATCGAGGCTGGGGCAGGGCTTGAGGCACGAGGGGCGGGGCTAAAGTTGAAACGCGATTGGAAGGGGAGAGTCTGGTTGGGCGGGACCTGAGCCTCACGGGGCGGGGCTACAGTTGGGAGCGGAGATTTGAGCAGGGGTGGGGCCAGAGCCGCAGGGGGCGGAGCTACGGATGGGAAGGGAAGCAGGGCGGGGCATGAGCCGCAGTGGGTGGGGCTATAGATGGGAGCGGAGATCCGAGTTGTGGTCGGGGGTGGGCCCTGAGCTGCAGGGGCGGGGCTACGACTGGGAAGGGAGACGGGGCAGGGCCTGAGCCGCAGTGGGTGGGGCTACACAGACTGGAGCCAAGTGGTGCGTGTTGGGAGAGGGCCCGGCCCTGAGCTGCAGGGCGCGGGGCAACAGTTGGGAACGGAGATTGGAGTGGGGAGTGTCTGGGGGACGGGACCTGAGTCTCACGGGGCGGGGCTGTATTGAGAGTGGATATTGGGGTAGGAGCGAGTCAGAAAGAGGCGGAACTAAGAACAGAGTCAGGGCTGGAGGGGGTGGGGCTAGAGTGGAGGTGGGGACCTGAGCTGCTGGGGCTGGGGTATAGCTGGGAGCGGAAATAGGGTCGGGGAGTGTCTGGAGGGAAGGCACTGAATCAGAAGGAGGCGGAGCTAGAAAAGGGGTCAGGCGCTGGAAGAGGTGGCGCTAGACTGGATGCACACCCTGAGGGTATGGGGCGTGGGGGGGTGGGCTGCAGTTAGGATGGGAGCTGGGGGCGTGTCGGGGGCGGATCCTGAGCCGGAGGGGGCGGGTCTACAATTGGGACTGCCGTTGGGAGCCCTGATTTGGAGGGGCTTTCAATGTGGAGGAGATGGGACTCTGAACAGCGCGTGGGGTTGGGGCGTGTCTGGGCGGCGGGCTCTGATCCCTCATTGGCAGGGCTGTGATTGGGACGGGCACAGAACCGAGGGCGGCATCCGGGGCGGAACTTCCAGCTGGGCAGTTCTTATGGTAGGCTCTGAGCAGGTCTGTGGGTACACCTTGGGATGGGGCGGTGTAGGAGCTTGGGTATTGTGAAAGGCAGGACCCTGAGCCGTGATCTGGCAACTCAAGGGGTGGGATACTAGGCGGGACCGGACTACGTGCCAATGAGACCTACCCTAGGTTATCTGGCTAGGAGTATGGCATGGGGACAGGAAAGGTTAAGATCTATCTTTGAACTGTAAATTCCTTGGAAATCACCTGTTAATTAAGGCCAACTTGTTACTGTTACTGGCCTGATAGGCGAGCACCTTCCGTTTCTTTACAAACTGTGTTTCAGAAGATGAACTGTCAGTTGTAGTTTGAGTTGCCCCATGACAAGTGGCTTTGAGTAAATTTTCATTTTTCTTTTTCTTTGTTTTTTTTTGAACATACAGGGTCCTTCCATGTATGGTTCAGGTTGGCCTTAAACTTTTGACCCTATCTCCATCTCCCAAGTGCTGGAATTATTGAGGTGTACTATGCTTTGTATATCTTTTCTTTTTGAGACAGGATCTCCCTGTAGCCCCAGCTGGACTGGAACCAGACCAGGCTGGCCTTGAACTCACAGAGGTTCTCCTGCCTCTGCCTCCCTAGTGCTAGGATTAAAGGGCTGTGCCACCACGCCCGGGACGCTTTGTATGTATGTTCTAAAAATTGTAACAGTCTTATTATCCCTTTGAGGTAGGTGTCATCCACAGTTTATGAAGGACACATACTCAGAGAGGTGAAATGACATACACCGCTTGTAAAGTCTGTGTGTCCTCTGCTGATTCAGGCTGCCTTCACAGTTTAGCCAAACAGCGGGTGAGTGTCATAGCTGAAACCACAGTAAAAATGTAATAGCAAGACACAGCAAGTCTAATGTTTTAGTTAATCTGCTGAGAGTTATCACTGGCAACTGAATACATACTGGATTCTTAGGCTTTTTAAACTCTTAAAATAGCTCAGAAGACCTCTCTTCCTGCTCAGCTAGTCTTCTGGTCAAGGTCGCCTGGACAAACACAACCAAATAGGATATGTATATTTAGAGTTGGGGACTTATTTTAAGGACTTGGCTCATGCCAAGCTGACAGATCTAAAATCTGCAGACAGGCTGCAGACCCAGGGAAGAGCCAGCACTGCAGTTCACATCTGAAGGCTGTTGGCTGCCAGCACTCTGCCTTCTTCTCAGAGGCCAGCTTTTTCCTGGGGTGTGGAACCACTTGCCCAGTTAGCGCAGTCCTGCCTTTTACAAGGTAGGACCAAGGGGGTAGAAGATGAAGCACCATGCTCAAAGACACAACTGAGGACCAAGCAGCTTTTCTCTTGCTAGCATCCTGTTCCCAGTGCCTGGTTCTTCATCCTCAGTGTCTCATGTTGAGCTCTCACCAGTTTGGAGCAAGAAGTGACAACTGGCCTAGTCCCTGTCCCTGTCTTCTGCCTCAGCTTAACTGGCAGAAGCCAAGGATGAAGATGTAACAAATATTGCTTAAAGTAAAAGAGGATTTTAGTTTCCTTTTTACTAAAATTCATCCTCCTAAGCTTAACATTCACCCACCCTTTTCTCATATTTCAATTCCTGTGTCTTACATAGCTACATAGTAAGACCCTGTCTCAAAGAAACATATGGAAAAAGCACAAGTAGTACAGGTGACAGGTAGCATATGAAACGATGTGTAAAATCACTCTCCACATTTAGTCAGGTGTGGTGGTGGGACTACAGGGAGACCTTGTCTCAAAAAGACCTAAAAAAAAAAAAAAAGAAAGAAAAGAAAAGAAAAATTCACATTTAAAACACAAGGTATCAGGCTGGGCATGGTGGCGCACACCTTTAATCCCGGCAGTTGGGAGGCAGAGGTAGGCGGATCTCTGTGAGTTCAAGGCCAGCCTGGTCTACATAGTGAGTTCCAGGACAGCTGGGCTACAGGAAGACCCTGCTTCAAAAAGACCAAAAATAAATAAATAAAACATAAGGTATCAATGCACACTTATTAGAACAGCTAAGATAAAAACTAAGGATAGGGGTGGAAAGATGGCTCAGTGGTTAAGAGCATATACTGCTTTTACAGAGTTTGGTTCCCAGCACCCACATGGCAGCTCACATCTGTAACCCACCAGTTCCAGGGTATCTGATGCCCTCTTCTGTCCTCCAAGAGCATTGCACATGCATGGTGCACATACAGGCAAACACTCATACACATAAAATAAAAATGAGTAAATCTTTTTAAAAAAATGTATTTGGTCTTTTTAAGACAGGGCCTCCCTGTAGCTCCAGCTGTCCTGGAACTCACTATGTAGACCAGGCTGGCCTTGAACTTACAGAGACCCCCCTGCCTCTGCCTCCCGAGTGCTGGGATTAAAGGCATGCACCACCACTGGCTTAAAAAAAATTTTTTTTTATTGTGTGTAAATACACCCATGTTGTACAATGCCTGCAGAGGTCAGAAGAGGGCATCAGATCCCCTGGAATGGAGTTATGGATAGTTGTTAGCCATCATGTGGGTGCTGGGAACTGAACCTGGGTCTTCTGCAAGAGCAGCCAGTGCTCTTAACCACTGGCCCATCTCTCCAGCCCCATAAGTAAATAAAAATGTCCAAGGACAGGCCAGGCATGGTGGCACAGGCCAGCAGAGACAGGCAGATCTCTGTGAGTTCAAGGCCAGCCTGACCTACATAGTGAATTCCAGACCAGCTGGGTGTCCCGCGCTATCGTCTCGCCAGCAAGAACGACGCGGCACACTCAGGATCCTTCTGCAGAAAAGCTTTAATGCATCTTGAGAGGGAGAGCATAAGCTTACAGGGCGAAGACCCCGAATGTCGGAAACCCAGCCCTTATATAGGTTAGTAAGCCCGTCTTGGACGTGGCAACTCTTGATTGGTCGCAAACTCATCAGCCCATATCACGCCACGAGGTAGGCAGAGACTAGAAGGTGGAAAATTACTTCGGGCATGCGTACTGACTTATTTACTGCTCAGCATGAACCGGATGTGAGCGCCATCTTGTAATGGCGTCTGCAGGGACGGCAGGCGGCTCCCCACAGCTGGGGCTACAGGGAAACCCTGCCTCAAAAAGACAAAAAAAAAAAAAATCTAAGGGCAATATGAAATGCTGGTGAGGATGGAGAGACTGGATCACTTGCACATTGCTGGTAGTCCTGTAAAATGAAAATTAATTTGGCAGTCTCTTACCAAATGACACATGCATTTACCATACCACCCTATCATTGCAATCATGAGCATTTACCTGGGGAAATAAAAGCCATGTTCACACAAAAACCTGCATACCACAGCTCCTATGGAAAACAGTATGGTGATTCCTCAAAGATTAAAACAGAATCACAGCTGGGCATGGTGGTGCATGCCTTTAATCCCAGCACTCGGGAGGCAGAGGCAGGCAGATCTCTGAGTTCAAGGCCAGCCTGGTCTACATAGTGAGTTCCAGGACAGCTGGGGCTACAGGGAGACCCTGTCTCAAAAAGACCAAAAAAATAAATAAATAAAAATACAAAGTTAAAATTGTCTAATTCGTAGGGCTGGAGGGATAGCTCAGGAGTTAAGAGCATTGGCTGATCTTGCAGAGGACCTGGTTTTGATTCCCAGCACCCACATGGCAGCTAAGAACTGTAATTCCAGTTCCAGGGGCTCTAATGCCTTTTTCTGACCTCTGTGGGTAATGCACAACACGGGTGCACTTACATACATGCTGGCAATACACTCATACACATAATAAAATTTTAAATGAAAAAAAGTAATTCTCACAACTATGTTGGTGCAGGATTACTCGACAAATACTGCTTCTGTTCCATGGGGTTTATGAGCATATTGGCAAGGGAGGAGAGGCTTCTGCCTTTATCAAATTTGGAAGTCATAGTGCATGGCCTAGTGGCTTGTGGCGACTGTGTGCCTGGAACTGCAGACGACGTGTTGTGGCCAGCCGGTCCCCAGGGCTGGTTATGGAGGAAGAGGACTTGAGCTGGACTTGTGTAAATAGGGGTGCATCGAGCACAGCAAGAAAGCAGGGGCCTGGGGGAGAATTTGAGCAGAGATTCAGAGAGACACAGCCAAAGGGTAAGTAGATATGCGCAGGGCTGGGGTGTAGCTCAGCGATAACAATTTTTAATTTTTTTTGTTTGTTCGTTTGTTTGGTTGTTTGGTTGATTTTTGGTCTTTTTGAGACAGGGTTTCCCTGTAGCCCCAGCTGGTCCGGAACTGGCTATAGACCAGGCTGGCCTTGATCTCACAGAGATCCACCTTTGTCTGCCTCCCAAGTGCTTGAATCAAAGGTGTGTGGCCACCACATCCAGCCTGAGTTTTTAAAGACTATTTTCCATCCCTAGTACGTTGAATCCACAGATGGAGGACCTGCAGGTATGCAGGCCAGCCATATTGAGTAACCTTTATGATTAACAGAGGAAGACTTCTGTAGGCAGTATGGGGTGAGCTAGCCCAGGAGTGAGCAGAGAGTGACCATGGGGCAGTCTAGAAGAGTGTCCCACCAGTGACTGCTCTCTGACTCTTGTGGGTGACCAACTTGGAACAGAAGGGCTCAGCAGATCAGACAGTTTGGGGACAAAGGTAGAGCCTAGGTGACAGAAATGATGGTATCACCACCTAAAGCGAGGAACAGCCCAGAGCTTTGCGAAACAGGTGTCCTACCTGGTACAGAACAGCCCAGGCAGGCACCTGAGTCTTCTTCTGTTCCTGTCAGAACTCTGTGTGTGCTCCTGGCCCTCTGAACAGAGAAGCCTGGCAGAGTCCTCAGAGGCAGAAGACAGGACTAAATGCCTCAGCTCAGGAGAAGTCCTAACTTTACCTGCTCCCCTGCCAGAGTGACCTGGTGTCTCTGCCGACCCCGCTACCCTGGTGGTCATTCAGGAGCCAGAGCCCAGGTCTGCACCGAGAGAGTGGGGCAGCAGAGGACCCTGTGGCAACTGCAGGACCCAGGAGTTCCATCCTTGCAGTGCTCTGCTTTGGGCTGTCTCTGATCACAGTGAAGGGACATTGTGAGAAGGACTGTTCTAAATAATGAAGCAGAGAGGCAGGCTGGCTTGCACTCAAAGTCAATGCAGCCATTGTTTCTGATCCCTGACCCTGTCAATTAGGACCCTGCCTCACTGCCTTGCCCCTGTCTTGTGTTTGCGTTATGGTGGCCTTACTCGACCCCCTGACTCACAGGACATTCTTTTTCATCACAGGCGATCTTTACTCAGAAAAACAAGCTTGTACCTGACCCACTGGACACAAGACACTGGCAGGGCTTCCGGCTAGAGGACTACCTGATAGGACAGTCCATTGGCAAGGGCTGTAGTGCTGCTGTATATGAAGCCACCATGCCCACATTGCCCCAGCACCTAGAGAAGGCCAAGTGCATGGGACTTCCAGAGAAGAGCCTAGATGTTCTCCCAAAGTGGGCAGAGAAGGGGCAGGCAGGAGCCTCCACCTTCCCCTTCGCCATCAAGATGATGTGGAACATCTCGGTAAGGGCCCACCACTCCATGAGCAGGCTTTTCTCAAGATGCTACTCTTTGGAGACAGGCTGTTTTTCCAGACTTTCCGTGGGAAAGGGGCCCATGGGGTTAGGCTTCTTTCCTCTCTTACATGAGCATCTGGAGCTGCCGGTCTCAAATTGTAACATGTCTGTCACCCACCCGGGGATCAGATCCAGAGGCAGATTTTGGATTTGGCAGGTCAGGAGAGTAGGGCTTAAGAGTCTGTGATTCTTTCTGACAAGTTCTAGGTTTTCTGGTCCGATAACCACTCTTGAGTGGCAGTTACCTAAACCACTGGCTTCTGAGCTGATGGCGACTTCATTTGAGGTCAGCCACATAACTGTCCTTTCCTTGTCCTTCCTTCCATGCCTGACCTCCCCGGAAAGGAGGGGCCATGTTCCTCTCCATCCCCCAGCTGCCAGGTACAAGGCTGTCTGTCACCTCCCTGCACTCAGCTCTCTGAAGCACTCACAGCTTTGAGAGAGTGGAGAGTATTTTCCCTACTGAACCAAAGTTTTCAGTGTGTTTAGTGTCTCTACCCTGCCACTGCAAGATGAGTTCAGAATAGTAGCCAAGACCCAGTGTGCTTTCGCCTGCTCAGAGCATCTGACTGGATGCCATGGAGCTCATGATGGGCACTGAGTGTGGCTTCTTGTTTTGATCTTGACTGGGAAGGTGGATAGACTGCTGCCCTGGGGTGGGGGTCGGGGGCAGCAGCTAACAAATAGCTACATCTTTTGATATATCCAGTCTGAGTTTCAAACTGGCCCTGGTGGGTATAGTAGATTTTGTATTCACAAAAGACTGTTGATTGTTAACAGATTTTTTTTTCAATATTTTATTTTTAGGCCAAGTGTGGTGGCACATGCCTTTAACCCCAGCCCTGGGGACCGTGTCTCAAAAAGACAAAAAATATATGTTTTATTATTTTTATGTATGAATGTATTGACTGCATGTATGTAAGTGCACCCATGTCATACAATGCCCTTAGAGGTCAGAAGGCGGCGTTGAATCCTCTGGAACTGGAGTTATGAATGGTTAGCTGCCATGTGGGTGCTGGTTATCAAATCCAGGCTCCGGGTCCACTGCAAGAGTTTCCAGTGCTCTTAACCACTGAGCCATCTTTCCAGCCCCAGATTTTTTTTGTTTTTTTTGGAGATAAGGTTGCATACAGCCCCAGCTGGTGTCACATTTGAGCTTGCTGTGTAATTGAGGATGACTTTGGTGCTGGAGATCCAACCCAGGGCTTCCTGCTACAGGCAAGCACTCTACTATCTACACTACATCTTCAGTCCATGTTACAAATCTTAGTACTTAGCCGGCTTCCTAGGTCCTGGGAGCTGTTTCTGATAAAATGAGGAAAACTGAGGGCTGGAGAGATGGCTCAGCAGTTAAGAGCACTTGACCCAAGTTCAGTTTCCAGCACCCACAAAGGGCGGGGTGGGATCCGAAACGAGGAAAATCAGATGGGCTCCCTCCTTTCTAGCCTCTATTTTCTGGGGATGGAAAGGCTGCACTGTCATTGTACACAACTCAATCCAAGCAGAGTTTCTTGGGCTCTGGCCAGTCTGTTGAAAGGAGCTGGCAGAATGAGACTTAGTGACTCAATAGCTTTGAGCCAGTGGTGACCAGAGGCATCCATGTGGGGAAGCATCATGTGCCCCAATATCATGACTCGATTGCCAGGAGTTCAAGCTCTAGGTAGCTACACCGTCCTCCACTCTCTTCCAGGAGGAACTAGTTTTGGCTTACTGCTGCCTGCTTCCAAAGTGTATCTGATCTTGAAGGTCAAAGCCAGTTCTAGGTTGCAGCTGTCTTGGTCCAGATCTCAGGTAGGAACTTGACATTCCACGAAGGCCTGTGTAATCATAGGTGCATTATGGATGTATTCCAGGCAGGCTCCTCCAGGGAAGCCATCTTAAGCACCATGAGCCAGGAGCTGGTCCCAGCTAGCCGGGTGGCCTTGGCTGGAGAGTATGGAGCAGTAACTCACAGGTAAGCATCCCTCTGCTTCCCAGAAGGCATGGGTTCTTTGAGAACAAGTTGATCGCTCAGCACCATGTGTGATGCCTAGTAGGTAAGAGGTGCTTACTGGATGATGCCATGGAGGGATTTTTCTATTAGTAGATAATTGAGCTTGGGAAAGATTGAAGATTGCCTGATCCCAACTAATAATGCAGGTGATTGTTCACATTGGAGCAAGGGCAAACACCATCTAAACAGGCCCAGTTCAGAATGCTAGGCAGTCCTCCCTAGTTCCTGCAAAGCAGTGGGTGGATGCAGCGCCACCTAGCCGAAGCAGCCAGCCAGGTGGCACATAGACTCCATCGGAAATAGCCCTGATCCTTCCATACGGCTTTTGTAGCCATCTGTCCATTTGTCCAGGGTCTGACTGTACAGTGGCACTCCATTCCACATGCCTGCGCCTGGTGTCTGTCCAGGTGCTGTGGCAGATGTAGTAGCCAAAGTACTGCTGGATCCCCAGAGAAACTCCCCCCTAGAGCACTCTGGGGTCATGTCCACCTGGCCTTTGCTCGAGATGCCTCAAACTCAGATCCTATGTGAACTGCTCCACTCCCTGGTCTCCTCCCCTCCCCCCTCTGCCCCTCCCC